ACCCCCCCTTTCACTTGCTGCGAGAGCGATGCAAGGGACCGGCTGCGGCTCGATGTATCGATGCGCCACTAGAAGCGTGTAGTCGTCACGAAATATATTGTGTTAAACAGATACTAAATTGTTTTGTCTCAAGGGTTTTGTTGAAGACCATCGAGCACGCTGCATGAGATGGACATTCATAATTGAATGAATCCAACGGGACACGAGAACTCTCGTTACACACACATAATTACACGTCAATACCGCTTCCCCACGGATTCATTATCGTTAAATTTTACGCGCGCCGATTAATCGCGACATCGACCGATATATTAAACAAATAGCTGTAATGGAGAGACGCGGGAGGGAAGAAAAAACGGTCGCACACCGCGTTAAAATATCCGGCGGACCGGAACGAAAGGATACACGTGAACGTCACGCATGGCGATCGCGAACGACGTGTAATCATTATCATAAATATATTAAATCCGATCTAACGTACGTTCTTTCGGCTCGGCCTGGGTCGCGACGTGATCGTTCAATTTCCACGCCATCGCGCTGGAAGACAAACGATCGGTGATTCTCGTTACGCGCTCTGTGAATCGCTTGTTGCACCGATAGAATCCGACATATGTCCCGGTCGCGAGAGATCCCGGAAAGTGACACGCACGCCTACTGGGGCTTAAAATGTACGAGCCCTTTCACAGCTATTTGTAAACGTCAACAGATCTGTCGCGACGTGTGGAGGCGCTCCTTTCAAAACATAGCTATATTTCATACAGATATATATATATATAATATATTTTTTGTAGCATATATCATTGTATATAAATGCGGATTGAACGTTGCAAGAAATTGTGCATAACTGTGATAAAATAATATAAAAAGAAATGCAAGAGTTATGAAATTATAATATCAGGCTGTGAACAAAATGATAATAGAATAAGAAAGATAGAAAGCTAAGACAAAGGAGAAGAAAAAGAACGGTTGGATGGATAGAAAGATAGGTGGTAGAATATTATAAGTTTAAGTATAAGTAAAGCATGCGTGAGAGATATGGATGGATGAGGCAGTTAAGGATAGTTTTGTAAACCAAGTCCACTTTTTGTATATGCTGAATTATTATTATGTTATTTTATTATGTATATATTTTAGTGTGTTCTCGTGTTGGGGGGATAGCATATATTTTCCACGGTTGCCAGGTCTCCAGATTTCGACTGGAGACTCCAATTTTCGGGACTAATCTCCAGTTCTCCAGCAGACGGAAAAAATCTCCAGTTTTTCGCTCGCGTGGAGTATTTATTAATTGCACATTTAAATTACGTAGAAAGTATTATAAGAAAGTCTGTGATTATATTCGCAGTTTATGTTATTTTACGAATAATAAAAAAGTTCGTAATTGTGTTCACACTGTATGTAATCTTCTAATAATAATAAAAAGGTCTCTGTGTTGACACTTTGTGTCAAATGTTGGTCAAATATTAATAACAAAAAGAAAGTCTGTAACAGTGGTCGCAAAACATGAATTAAACCCTGCGCTTTTTTTACTCTTTTTTTTTTAAATAAAACAATCGGCCAGCCTCCAGTCAAAATATGAAATCTCCACACTCAGAGAAAGGTTTCTTCGATTCAAAGAAATGTTTCTTTGCTATACGGTAATCAAATAAAAAAGTTTATTTGATTTTAAAAAATTATGTTCAAATCAAAGAAATTTGTTCTTTAACCGTATAGCAAAGAAACATTTCTTTGAATGAAAGAAACCTTTCTCTGGGTGCAGTGCACGGACCTTCGGGCCCCAGTCGAACAGTACTCGGGACCTGGCAACCGTGGAATGATTTTCATGAAAAATATCTCAAGTTTTATGAAAATTAGAGGATGGATCTTTCAGAGGGGAGGTCATTTATCTTCGATCCTATGTAACTTGTTATTAGCTTCGATTCGAAATATGGACTGTCGAGGTTCAAACATTTGTTACATCGGTATTGGGAAGTCCGTAAAGACTTGATTCCATTCCTATAATATCATGTGAACGCACGGATTAACGGGGGAATCCAGCTCAGGGCTATATCTCTCTGTGATCGATGAGGACCCTTCTACACCTGCATATTATGCTTCTCGCGTACGATCACTTGGAAATCGTAATTTAAATTGATACCTGACGTTTCGTTAAGTATATCGCGCGTTTAAGTGCCGGGATCCACTTTTATCGATAGAATTTCGAGACGCGATAGATGATGATGGATGGCCGTCAGTCGCGATGAAAGATTACTATCTTTACAGTCTCCTTATAGCAGCGATCTTATATATCTAATATGTATATACGAAGAGAGCATTATGATCAATTCAAGAATGCATAATAAATAAAAGAATATTGTAATACACAGTTGGAATAATATTTTTTAATTATTTTTTTAAGAATTATAGCAACAAACTCAGACAAAAATATTGAGTATTTATGGTTATAATTGCACGCTAAAATAATTATGGTTAGAAATTCCGTTTTTATAGTTATTACTGCTATAATGTTAGTACTAATTTATAGTTCTACCAAAAAGATAATGACTGTAAATTATAGTTAAATTATAATAATTACAACCTTTTTTCTCAATGAAGGCAAGCAATTATATATTTAGGACAACAAAATTAAAATTTTTACAATTTGTCGTACAATAATTTCTGTAACAAATATAAAAGAACAAGCTCGTTATTCGAAAACACGCCGTTCCCAGTTTAAGCACGAATAATTTTGAAATCGGTGGATTACTTTTTTAATCAGCTAAAAAGCTGTCATGTTAGATTTCTGAAAATAAACACGATATCTGTGCGACGACACGATGTGCAACGATGTCTGTATATCGTTCACCATTCTGTCTTGCATCATTAATTTCTGATAATCTGCAACGTGTTTAACAAGACGACAGATCCAGTCCCAGACAGAGCGTGTCAAAACATCACATTTATGAAAAGTAGTTTAATCGAACGTTTTTTTTATCTCCTCTTTTCCGGTAACTATCACCGATTATTTTGTCAAAAAATGTTTAAAAGGCTATCGAGAAATTATGTAGCTATACAGTTCACCGTTGTGATTATATTAAGCTTAATTCTGCCGTTCTTCTTCACTTTATCAGTATGATTTTATTCCCGAATGTGTGAGATGGGCTTTAATCAGTCGCACCGACGAAATGATCTCGTTTTCACCGCGCGACGATGATAGTCCAATCGGCCTTAATCTCTGTCGCATCGTCGCTTCATTCATCCACTTAGCGCGCTCATTACGTGGCGCGACTGGTAGCCAAGCGGCTCGTAAAACACAACAAGTACTTTCCGTGGTCGTTTCGTACGGATATAACATTAAATTCGGTCAGTCCGCAATCACGCGTTACGCGCCGCATTACATAAACGTTTCATTTCGTTCGACGCCCGTAATTAACTCTGAATGACGGCCGTTCTTGTGCATATTAAATCATTAGTGTGTTTATGTAACCGGGTATTAAGTGGCGGAGGAAATTCCTATCAGCTCTGTTAATCGCTATCAATCTTGACCGATTGAACCGTATAGGGATTATTATTCGAATCTACAACGTGTATCCAATTTTCGAGGTCTTTTTGAGATACTTGGCTAATTACTAATTTCGTATCCATTTTTGCAGAGGTAATTTTTGCGTAATTATATTTATTAAGAAAATTAATGTTTTTGATTTTAGGAAGGAAGTAATATTCGATACTTTTTTTATGCATTTGGCATATATTTTTCTTTTTCTTTTGCAGACATTTTTTTTAAGAGATTAATTGAGTTTCGGGATCTTTCTTCGTCTTTATCTTTTACAAAAGATACGACGTCGCGTGCATAGATCGATTATCGTCGTCGGACTTTATCGCGAAGTTCGGCGCGAACATTCGGTTTTGACGCGGTATGACGGGCTTCCAGCACGTGTCCGAGTCACGCGTGTTGCGACCTCGCGAGAATCTCCCTTCCGATCCCTTTGCTCGTTACTTCGACGAATGGCGATCATAATCGACGCTGCAATTTGCGTATGCGCTCTAGCCTCGAGCGACTATCGATTAACATTTTCACTTGCCGTGCAGTATAATCGAGGAACGTTGACAGCTTTCTTACAAGTTGTTACTTTGAGATTATCGACAGATAAAATGGAAATGCATCGTTAGTAAATCGATTGTTTGTTAAAGTTTTTCTTCGCGTCGTCGTGCGATTTCTGACTTCTATATCGATTCAACACAAAAAAAAAAAAATCCTGCGACTCTATTTTTAAAGTGATCAACATAAAGGCTCTGAGAAATGATAAAACTGAGTAAATATATAAACCTATTAGTGTCAACGCGGGTTGATTAATAATTTCTGATGCATAGTTAGTATAGACGCGAAGAATTAGTAATCAATAATTTTTTACGTATCAGACATTATTGATGTGTAAGAAAATATATTGTTACAAAATTCTCAATTATATAGCCACGAAACTTAATATAAGCTGTAAGTCGTTCTATTTGAAAGTACAGAATGCAATTAAACCTCCACTTTAAGGCGATTGAAAGAGGCAGCTTTAAAGTTTTTTTTTATTATAATTTAGAATCTCGTCAAGAGAGAGCATATAAAAATTGTACAATCATCTAAAAATTTTTGCTTCAAGTTTAAATGACTCGCTGTAGTCGAAGATTACGTACTATTGGCGTAATTGTTGTATTTATTATTGGTTTTAATTCGATATTTACATGGAAAGAACAGTTTTGCTGAAGAACTAAAAATTTAGCTAGATGTGAAAATAATTTTATTGAATCAATTTTATCAATTTTATCAAAATAATTATGTAGAATGCTCAAGTTTGTTGTTAGAACATTAAAAGTTTTTGCAGTATTACTAATTATACTTGAATTTCCTACATAATTATTTTGATAGCCCAACAAAATTATTTTCAGATTATTATTTCCTGTATTTAACTAAATTTTTAGATATTTCAGTAAAATCATTCTTTCCATGTAGAATCCTAAATATAACTGTTTCTCACCTCGATCGCTGTGGCTCCTGGATCTGCCCAAGAATGAGAAGGGCTATCGCGATTGTCGCGATATCACCGCGACGCATCTCTTACATCACAATCACCTTGTTGTTATTGAATGTAAAAAGCGGATGTGCACGCGACAAAGTTTTACGCTTCCGCAATCAGCGGATGAACGACGCTCACCGGAAGTTGATCGTTCGGAACTGGGATAGACCCTGTTCCGTTGTCGAGTCGAATCATGTGAGATCTCGTCGTGTGTGCAGTCTCCGTTACCGCTCGGCGAGCACGTTTCTCACACTCCAGGCTCGTCGCCGGACGTATTTTACAACATGAAACTTTGTCTTTGATGTTTATCCAACATCTGCTTCGAGCGACGTCGTGAGAAGTTTCTTGCCGCGATTTCAATCACTGTAATCACTCCGCGTTCTCGTTAGCACCTCATAGCGACACAAAGCCGCGCGTGCACGTGCGCGCGTATCGGGCAGGTGCGAAAGAGCCGAACTGCAGAGCCAACATTTGGATTTTCTAAAGTGTTTGCGCGCGTTTTAAAACTTTACGGTCCCGTGCCGCACCGTGCGAGTGTTTACAGTCTCCAAATACTCTTTTCCGAAAGAAAAAAAAAGACTAAGCGGCTGAACGATTCGTCTCTCGCACATGTATCTTCGAATCGTGCACGTCGATCGCGTATCGTGTGCCACGGGTGGTACTTCCATCGGTGATAATTGAGACCGGACTCGAGGAGAGCTCGCGATCCGTAAATTCGATCAGCGGGTGGTCACAGCCCTACATTGATCACGAAGGTAACGGAGTCGTCGTGCGAGTGCACCATCGCGTCCATTTTCGAAGCGATTTGCCGCGGTATCGGTGGAATGTAGTCTTAAGTAAGATTTACTCGATTCACTTTAATGAGGCGCGATCCGACCGACTCGATCTTAGAAAGTCGGCTAACCTGAGCCGGTAAACGCGTTTATCTAGAAGAAACGGTGGATCGGTTATCCTAACGAGCGTACGACGATCGCGCGCGGGGTCTCGTTAGCAAATAGATACCAATTAAAAAGATAACTAAGTACCGTCATTATCGGTGCGGCGTACTTTATATTCGAGCTCTCAGATCGCAGATACGCAAGCTCACGCGACGCACTATCGTCGAGGAACGACGATCTTTTGCCGTCTCACGCGAGAATGTCGGCCGATTGTCATCGCTGCGAAGATCCTCGTCGTCGTCTCGTTAACGATTTCGATGCAGAGGGAACTTATCGCTTGGCTCATCATCATCACTCCCCCGCGCGCAAAACGCTTAACGATCCTCTCCTTCGCCGGCGGAGATCGCGCCAGCGAGATCGCGTAAACTGCAAAAACCGGTGATCGATCGTCCGGCAGTCACGAGAGAGACGTGTTCGCCTCGCGGTTACTCTTCTTCTTCCATCGCTGACCGAGCTACTCGTTCGCCTCTGGCTCGAACGAAGAATTCCAGTGCTCAAAGAGCACCCTCCCGACGAGAGGAGCTCTGCTACCGGTTCTTATTGTCTCGTTGTCTTATTGTTCCGCCGTGTCAGTCCTTTTGAATCCGCGCCTCGTCGACTTGGAGCACCTCGTCGCGAACAAAGACGCGCGAAGAATATCCCTTGTGAAGCTCCTCTGCGCCACTTCCTGTCCGGTGTTCCCTTTTTGTACGATCGGCAACCCTCGGTTTGGTATCCGAGAGCGCAATCGGCATCGGCGATCGCTAGTCAATGTTCGTTTCATTAGCGTTCAAATCGAGGCAGCGTCCTCGATCGCCTCGCGGCCAACAGTATGATCCAGATTCCAGCAATTGAGATCGTCTCCTGCGCTCCACAGTTCGACATTCGCGAGAGCCGTCATCTTTCTTCACGCGTCACCGCCTCAAGATTGTATCGTTCATTGCGCGTCGTTATTCATCGTCCATCCATACGAAAGAAATGTCATCGCCTCCGAAAGATCGATAAGCCTTTTTTTCAGACAAAAATTCTCTCGACGAGCAGAGAGTGTTCAGATGAAACAAAAAAGAACGTGCCTGTCGAATGATTTTTAATGTACTAACGTGGTTAGGCTGATCAGTCGTAGGATATAATCGTCGATCCGTTTGTGTCGTGTCGCGTGCACAACATCGGCACGCGTGCGAGAACTGGAACAGAGGGTAACTGTGCAAGGTGTGCGATACAACCTGGTGCTCAAGGTAACCGCCGCCACCACCACTGCTGGCACCACTACCATCACCACCATCCGTCCCTATCGGCCCCTACCTATCGTACCCCACCACCACCACCACCACCACCACCACCACCACCACCACCACCACCACCACCACCGCCACCACCACCACCGCCACCACCACCACCGCCACCATCTGTACTATAACCAACGGCACTGCGATCGCCAGCTACGAGTTTCTGCCATGGGGAGCCAGCCACCGGAGGGTTACTCAACGAGTTGCTCGCGGAGAGTTCGACGAGCAGCTCGTCGCGCGCGCATGGGAATTTGAACGAGCGGGCAGAAAGTAAAGCGCGTGTTCGGTCGAGAGGAGGGCCCGCGATGGACTGGCCTCGGTCACAACCCGAGTCCTCCTACCTTTGGGATCAGGTCTCGCAGCTATGATGTTACCTCTACGATCCTACTTCCTCGCATATCTCAACCTCTTTCTCGCTCTTTTCTCATTTCTCGTTCTTTCCATCTCTCTCTTTCTCGCTCTCCCCCTTCCTCTCTCTCTCTGTCACTCTCTTGCTCTTTTCCTTCGTTCTTACTCTGTTCCTGCTCTCTACTTTGCTTCTCCGTTTCATTTCCACCCGGTTCTCCGTTACCTTTCCTCTGCATTGCTGCCGCGCGCGTTACATCCTCCCGGTCGCTCTTCTCGCTACTTGCCGTAACCGCTCGTTTTGCTTTAGTTTGAAAGTTACTTGCCCACCCGCCGCCCGCCGATATTCTCTCGAATGCCAGATCGTCGTACGTCTATATCCGCGAAACCGCCATCGCGGATTTGTGCCATTGCGTGTTTTCGATCGCACGTCAGATAGCACGGCGATGATACGCGAAAATCACAAACGCTTGTTACTGTCTCAATATACGATATCTGTGTTAATGGACACAGATCTGTGTTAACACCAAGCCTTTCAGCTCCATACGATGAAAAGATATTGATTTTAATATACAATCGAATATTATGTTACATTATGATGATTTTTGTTATCAGCGGCATCACAATGGCTACAAGCATAGTAATACACATAAACTATGGAATAGCAAAATTCGTGTATAAACCAATGAAAAGATACAATAACAATAATTTCTTATATAATATTTCTCATAAAGTTATAGATTTTATGCTCTTCATAAAAGTATAAAAGAATAAACGAATCGTATTTCCAGAGGTGGTAAATTCCAATTGTTTAATGTTAATTGTAAATAAACGATTGGCTTGAGAGTTCGATTAAGTTGTTCGATAAATTGAATCCGTTCAGCACGAACAGGATAATTGACTATTCCTACACCTACGTCGAGCAGAAGATCAGATCGTGTTGCGTTGTAAACCTTTTTTTTAAGGCACTATGCATTTTAAGGTGCTTAAATTTATTAACTTTACAACGTGGATTCAGCTTCGCAAATTACAGCTCGAAAGCTTTACGAACTGCATACTCGAGACTTCAGACTGATGGAACGAATTGACCACTTTAATTTAAGATGAAATCATATGTGACTCTTGAAGATATAATATTAGTTCTAACAGGATTTTTTATCATTCACACAAATAGCAAAAATTGCGTAAAATTGCACATAATTACACCGATAATTATCTTTGCATAAAAAATTGTTATTTAAAGAAACATAAAACGTCGAACAAAATATATTATCTCGTTACGTAACGTTATATAACCGAGAAACCGAGAATGATATGAGTGATATACATCTGCGTGCAAAACTTTGATCCTATCGTATATTTTGTTTCGGGAGTGGATCGGTCGAGATCCGATCGGTCCAATCAATTTGGAGTAGATGTGATAGGTGTGCCTCATCCGGTTGACTAGTACACATCGACACACTTAAGAAAACGCTCGAGATACTGATCGTTTAGGTATACCTAATCTTCGCGATGAGATCTGATTGCTCATAAGAAGGAATTTTATGGATGTCACTCTCGAGCTACCTCATTGCGTTGCACGGAACGAATCGATCATTGAACGTCGCATTCGAGAATCCGCGTTGAATATGTGACTGATATACTTGGCGGAGAGAGAGCGCCAAAAATAAAATAATTATAAATAAACAAGCTGAGACATACACGGCTCACGTATTCGGTCAAATTTTCCGGTCTTTTCTTTCCTTTATTCTTTTACGTTCGATAATCAGGGAAGTTATTGGTGCCGCCAGGGTACTGTTCGTGACATCGGAAATTAGTATGTTGAACTCTTGGCAATTTTCTGCCCTCTTATAGTCCCGTGGCATGCAAAATGCGAGCACGGCCGATATACATGCACGGTGAGTAAAATATATGCACGCGGGCGATGAAAATTTTATTCAGAGGACGGATCTCGTTGAGCCCCGCTTACGTGGACTCGCAGTTCCCTTTGCCGTTCGAGGAAACAAGCGTGCCGTATAACAACCAAGAGGGCCCCCTGAGCGAATTCCATTAATTATATACTATTACGTCGTAATTGTACGCCATATGTTTTCGGTTTTAAGGGGGTCTCGTCGAGTCGGGTCGCCGTCTCACGTACATGCCTCACACGATCCGATACTGTCAAGACGGAGAGAAAAAGAAATAAAGTGATCACCACGACCTCCGGCAACGCTACAAAATATGCCTCCATTTTCGAAAAGAAGGACGCGAGCCTGACGAGGATCCGACGCGAAACGCCGGATATTCTTCTTCGACTAAAACACACTTAATTTAAGTATATATCTTCCTCTCCTTATTACTAGTCGTGTATAGATTTCGACTCCTTATTTCTCTTTTCCGTTTCTAGAATCTTGAAATTACATGTTACCATTTTGTAAAAATCGGAGCGTAATATATAAATGCGAGGTTAAGCGGATGATACTATTCGTGACAATAATACTGTACCACTTTATTCGTGAGCTAGACAAATGACAGGAAACATGTCTGGCTGAGCAGAGTGACGCATTTGATAGACAATCTACAAAAACGATTCGTTCATGTAGGATAGAATTTTTTTCATGAATACGTATAAATCGTTTTATAGAGAATCATGTACCAATAATGATTATAATTTCACGTATAATTTTATAATCGAGGGGCGATAATAACGGATGTACCGGAAGCTTATACGTTGAATCATTGCGCACAAGATATAGGTGCATATAAAACACGAGCAAGAGACAAAGCCAGGCATTATGCATTCATTGTCAATCCCCATTTTATATTCATCTTGTCCGCTACCGTTGGTTCTCGTGATTTCTTGCGTTTCCCTCGTAGAGACGATTGAGTATTCTCTTGCGCAGGTAACGGACGGGCACCGTAAAAATGTTTACAGCCCACCGTGAATTTCGAGCGCGCAGTTTTCACGCTGTAGCACTTTAACGGAACATCATTAGTTTTACGATATAGCCGGTAATTTATAACACCGTTTAATTA